AAAAGTAAGTAATCGCTTTTCTTAACGGAATGGAATAGAATTTTCTGTATGTACGTGTGACGTAAAGGAGAATTCACACTTTGACAGAAAAGCAGAAAACAGAAAGACAGAAGCCAATCATAGCTCGCACTGGTAGAAAAGCAGAAACTAATCGACTACCACCTGACCACCAGCACCAGCTCTGACTGGTCTCTGCTTTTCCATTAAAGTGTAAATACGCCCTAAGTGTCGTGGCGCATAAGAGAGAGCGCGTATAAAGTTCAGACTTATTATATTCCATCAACCGGCAGTCATTATCCGTAATCGCAAATTACGATCGACACTGGCGATAGGAAATCGTATTATCGCGGGCAGAGTCGTTTCAGGCTTCGCGTTGCTTCAGACAGAAGATGCAGCATCAATTAACGGCGGTCACCGTAGCTAAACATTCCGACACCGCCGAACAGAAGTTGCCGAGAGTTTGCATCGCGCCATTAATTATTAATGAACGGCGACCTCGATGTATATATTCGTCGCTTCCCGATCGGACGCGGTAATACGTATCGATAAATGTCAATCGTGCGATTCGCCTCACGCGTTCCACAACCACAGAATCAAACGCGAACCGCACACGTACGTGTATACATAATAACAATCAGTCGACAGAAGTTTTTACACAACTACGGCTGTGTCGTGTAAAAAAAGACAAACCCGTCCTGCTCTGCTTTCACCGAGTGCAGACTCGACGAGTTTCGTTGTTACGGAGCGAGCGCGCATATCACACACACATACATATACACACACACGCGCGCGCTGTCGTTGTATGTAACATTGTGACGCAAAAGTGGCGCGCGTTTTACGATGAAATTGCAGCAAAGTGCGCTTCACGGTTGTTGGCTAGGTACATATCATGCTCGCCGATACGCTGCTTTGTCGGACACCGCGATTCCTGCGATTTAATCACCCAGATATACAAGCGCACGTAAATTTGGCGATAACTTTACTGGTCGATTTGCATCCCTTATGAATTATTCATACGGCGTTCATATTTGTCACATAGTACGACGGATTAGAAATATACGCGAAAAAAATATGAAAAAAACAATGAAAATTTGCTCGGAACAATATGCCAAGTAAAATGTAAAATCTGAGTGAGTAGAATATTTAGCTGCAAATTAAATCTGCAGTTGAATGTAATAAATTTGTAACTATATTGATATATAACAAAAAAAAAACGTTTACATTATTGTATGCTGTCAATTTAATAATTCAGTCATTTGCTCCACGAATGTAATGTAATTTAATTTAATGTAATGTAATGTAATTTAAAAAAAGTGCAGAGTTTCCATCATCGATTACCTCACGTTGTGATAATCATAAAAGTCTATTTGTGAGCGTTTGGATTCATTATCTAAGTGAAGACTAGATTCTTAAATTTGTAACTGTATTGATATATAATAAATAAAAAACATTTACATTATTGTATGCTGTCAATTTAATAATTCAGTCATTTGCTCCACGAATGTAATGTAATTTAATTTAATGTAATGTAATGTAATTTAAAAAAAGTGCAGAGTTTCCATCATCGATTACCTCACGTTGTGATAATCATAAAAGTCTATTTGTGAGCGTTTGGATTCATTATCTAAGTGAAGACTAGATTCTTAAATTTGTAACTGTATTGATATATAATAAATAAAAAACATTTACATTATTGTATGCTGTCAATTTAATAATTCAGTCATTTGCTCCACGAATGTAATGTAATTTAATTTAATGTAATGTAATGTAATTTAAAAAAAGTGCAGAGTTTCCAACATCGATTACCTCACGTTGTGATAATCATAAAAGTCTATTTGTGAGCGTTTGGATTCATTATCTAAGTAAAGACTAGATTCTTAAATTTGTAACTGTATTGATATATAATAAATAAAAAACATTTACATTATTGTATGCTGTCAATTTAATGATTCAGTCATTTGCTCCACGAATGTAATGTAATTTAATTTAATGTAATGTAATGTAATTTAAAAAAAGTGCAGAGTTTCCAACATCGATTACCTCACGTTGTGATAATCATAAAAGTCTATTTGTGAGCGTTTGGATTCATTATCTAAGTAAAGACTAGATTCTTAAATTTGTAACTGTATTGATATATAATAAATAAAAAACATTTACATTATTGTATGCTGTCAATTTAATGATTCAGTCATTTGCTCCACGAATGTAATGTAATGTAATTTAATTTAATGTAATGTAATGTAATTTAAAAAAAAGTGTAGAGTTTTCATCATCGATTACCTCACGTTGTGATAATCATAAAAGTCTATTTGTGAGCATTTGGATTCATTATCTAAGTGAAGACTAGATTCTTAGAATGTTCGCCGGCAAAAGCAGCAGCATGAAAGAAATCTTTCTCTTTGAGCCTCTACGTGCAACTTTCCTCGAGCGTAGCGGATATACATATTCATGTTCGTTATTATTTAGATATATGCAATCAAAATATACAATTAATGAAGGTAAAACTGCCCGCCCACTACCTCGTTAAAAACTTGCCAATATCTTCCTTTTAATAATTATCAATCAAAGAAAAAAATCAACAAGCATTTTTACAAACATACAGTTAGTTAAATTATTACCTTTGAAGATTCAAAAAAATGGTGAAATATTTTAAAAATTAGATAATTATTGCTACTTACAATTTCTCTGTTGAACGAAGATAAACATAAACAAAATAATATCGATTATATACACCCGACAACGCAACGATATCACTTTTGCGCGCCGTATCTTCCGAAACGTTTCTTCCCATGGTGAGAAAACTCATCGCTTCGTCGAATAGCGAAAGTATTCTCATCTTCATCGGGATAATGAGTAAGATCAATAAAGACATGAGAAAGTTGCGATCGAGGCGTACACATAAAAGATTTTCGATATAACCTTTGCCCAGGGATCACCAAGTGATCATCTCTCAGTCGTACCAGACTTTCTTCCCTTTTGTCTGGCGAGGCACGAAGTCGTCTTTCTTTTCGACGCCGTCACCTTGCCGAGCAGTTTCGAGAGCAACGCCCAGATGTGGAGTTTACGCTCGCGATAGTGCAAGAAACCAAGGTAGAAGAGAGAGAGAGAGAAAGAGAGAGGGGGG